AAACATATTCTTAAATTAAAAATTGGATATAGTAATACCAAAATTAAATTAACTATTAATAATAATAATAATGCTAACAAATATTATGAAATACTAAAAAGAATTTATTACTAAAAATATTCTGTCAACCACGAGTCTTAATTGATTTATTCACACAACCATATTATACTCTTTAACTTATTATTGTTTATACACATTCATTTTTTAATAAGTTCTCTCCTTATGTATATATTAGTTATTGAGACAAATAGTACCATATGTCTCGAATTTATTAAGATGTCCTGTAATATTTTTAGCAATAAGTAAGCCCTCTTCAATGTTTTAAGATACTTGTTATTATTTATTGATTAATAATGATATTATTAATATCATTATATATTATTAAATTAATAATCAATTTAATTTGTGATATTACTATTTTCAGCTATAATTTAAATTCTTCTCTCTCTATGTTTTCAAGACTGACTAGGTTCAGCACGCACTTTGAAGCACTTTTAAAATATTTATATTTTAATGTTGATATATATAAATATTATTAGATCAAGATCTAACCTCGACCGGATTGGCGCTTCTTTACTTAATTGATTTATTGGTTTAAATGATCTAGTTTAACTTATTATTGTAATTTTATATTCCACAATTTTGGTTCCTATTTGTTACGTATAATGGTTTATTATATCAGTATATACAGCTTAGCGGGCGTTTTTTTTTAACTACACGGCAAACTATTGCCATCGAAATGTCCTCCCACACGGAATGCGATGATAAAGAATACTAGAGGGAACCGCGCGCGAGGATTGGAATATTCCCATCATCCCTCTCCATTTCTCACGTCCAATTTCCACGGCGACAGTGGCTGTTACACCGGGCAACGCATTATTATTCGCCGTATTAATTTCACTCGTTTAAGTAGTGAATAATTAAGCGCCATATTTCATTAGGGCCAGCTTAATCGCGACGGGACCATCCATAATTAATGGCTGGACGTGCCGAGCGCGCGTATGCATTCTCTCCCGTGCCGAACACTTCGTTAGCTCCTCCCCAGCTGCATTTGCTGGTCATTGTTATTTCGGATATCTATAGACACTATTATTGGCAATCGAATTTCTGTATGCATTATTATTAATGTTTGGCCGTGTCTAGGTATCTGAACGTGTACGTGTGCATGATTAATTTTAGGTTCAATTCTAAATTTAACAATGTATTTTATAGCTCTTTTATTACAATTAGAATTTCTAAGTATCAAAAACTTTACAAAGACAATGATTGCATTCAGCAGACCAATCAGCTCAGTTAAAAAGCATGTCAGATTGTAATTTAGGCTGCATTTATATTATTATGCTTTTTTTATTATTTTGCACATTCAGATACACTTGTCGATTTGACCCTTTACTCTATAAATATATAGTCTATATATCCTTCACATATATCCGCCAAAACGTGTAAAAAGCTTTGTGCTTGACAGTAGATCGATGAGTTCTAAAAATGATTTACGAGTATTTGCCAAATCGAGATTAATAGTATTTGCAGTAAATGGATAAACCTCTCGAAGTGGAAATCTTCTTGCACCTAAATATATATCAACTTTTTATAAAGTAAATCATCTAAAATGTTAAAAAATAACTGTTTTGTAAAATAATTTTAACTCTAACAAAGCAAATAAATTAGATTTAAAAAAAGAGAAAATTAATTTTTTTGAAATTTTATGCTTATTTAATTTTGAACCATATTAAAATATTTACATTAGTATAATATGAATTTAATGCTTTAATTAACAAAATGTAAATTTCCTATTATTTAGTATTAATTATTATTATTGCTCTCAGAAAATTTTTTACTATCGTATTTCTCTGTAATAATTTATATACATTATGCAAGCTATTAACATAAAAGGTTACTGTTGTTTCAGGTGCTACTCTTACGTTTGAAGTTGAACTTATGAATATTAGCGATTCGCCCCCAACCGCTAACGTCTTTAAAGAAATCGATGCTGACAAAGACAACCAACTGTCCCGCGAGGAGGTGAGAGCAATGGCAAGATCACTTTAAGTTTTTATTTGGGCCATTTGTGGTGCTGGTAGTAGAAAAATATAGTGCTACAAATATTTTAATATATAAACTATTTGTTTTTATACGCATGGCCGAAAGTAATATAATATTAAAATTTATTTGTATTTTTTAAATGTTCTGTAATACTTATAGATATATTCGTATATTATTATCCGGAAACTATTATATTATTTTTCATACATATTCGCATTACATTAGTACAAATAACGTATAACAAATAATTAAAAAGAACTTTGTAGTTATGTAATACTTGCTGCAATATATCATGATAATTGAAAGTTATGAAATTGTTTTCATGTTGAAAATGAGAAATAAATTTTACAATATTCACAGACAAAAAGAAATTTGACACACAGAAATTTAAATTAATTTTCGTATTACAGGAATAATTTGCAGCATATTAATATGCATATTTTAATCCATTTAAATTTTCTGCTGAATTACAAACTTAACAATATTAACTTTATTCTATAAATTTACATATGTATATTATACTTTGTAGACGTTTATGCCATTTTCTATGCATCGTTTTAATTAATCGGTACATGGTCAATTTTTTGTTTGCAGGTGAGCGATTATCTCCGAAAACAGGTGATAGAAGCCGAGCAAGCGGGCGCTAGTGAAAATGAAGACGTAAAGAAAATGCTGGCTGATCATGATAAGCTCGTCGAGGAGATCTTCCAACATGAGGACAAGGACAAGAACGGCTTCATCTCCCACGACGAGTTCAGTGGGCCGAAGCATGATGAGCTCTGAAGTCTTCGTCCTTCATCATCGCGTCTCCAAGCGCCCGTTGTTGACGTCGTCGTCGTCTCAACCGTCGACGATATCGACGCGCCCCGCGCCATCACGTGTTCACCTCTGTATAAAATCACCTCTTCGAGTCCCCTCTCGGGTATTCCCGAAGGATCCAATGATCGATTGTGCCGAGTACACGCGTGCTCGAACTTGCAAGATCAAGCAAATTTATCAGCAAACTTTTCTGATATAGCACCACTGATACCAGCATCAGAGGGATACAATCTTCGGGAATCTCCGGCTCGTCGAGTCGTATTCGTGTTCTTGATTGCAGGAAACTTACAAGAGTAGGTGGACATTTTTATTAACAACGAAGAGCGTAAAGTGAAACTGTTTTTTGAAAAATTTGGAAAAAAGGGAACCTAGAAGTTTTGAAAACTATATGATGGTCCTAAATAGCTTAAAGATTTCCTAATTTTTTAATTCGGGTGTTCTAAAGGATACGATTTCACTCGTTTGAAAATAGGAATCACGATTACACTCCGCGAGCCATCTTATACGCACAAGGTTAATTGAGAATCTGCAGAGGAAATATTGATCAATTTCCGGTGTAATTTTCACCTGAACCTTTCTTATCCTAGCACATCTTACTAGGAAGATCTGCAATTTTTATCGCTCAATATTGTTTATTTTATTTATCATACAATCTCGTTTTGAAAAAATCTTTATACCACAGTACACAAACAATTATTTCTGCAGTTACTTAGTTTTTATAAATAATTTATATTGCGCAGAATTATGATTCTTTTATCAAATAAAGTTTCTAATAAAACAAATTTTTCGTTCCCTGGTAAATCGTGAAAATATATATCAAATCTATAGTCTTTAAATAATTAATATAAATATCGCGTTTTTTCCTTTGTTATTTTCAACCGTTTTAAAAATCTACGGAATTTTACAAAGATCCATGAAAATTTCACGAATATTCCTAGGGAAACATTCCGGCGGAACGACATCATTGTACATTTTAATACAATATAAACAAAAAAATATATGAATGTCTGCTCGAATGATTGCACTGTAGTGGCGTGAAGTGAGGCTGTGTATGTTTCGCGCTATATATATTATATAAAAATATAAAGGGAGAGAGAGAGAGAGAGAGAGAGAGAGAGTTTGTGATTGAGCGAGATAAAGGTGTGACGGAAAGAGTGTTTTTTCTACATGATTATAAATGTTAGCATAACTAAAAAGCATCGACGTATGGTGCTGAAAATCACATGCATTCTGTCCTACTCTCAAAGCTTCCACCAACCTGTCCCAGTCATAACGATCCCTTGCTCGAGAGTTGCGCGCGCGCGATATTCACGTAGGAGACAAGAAGAGGATGATAAAGAAAAAAAGAGGAAGAGGAAATATCCCGAGGATGCGTAGTGGAGATGAATATGGTCGCTCTTACGCGAGCATCCCCCTATCGTCGCATTATTACATTTTAACTGATACGTTTTTATTACTACATTATATTGTATGTTGTTAAAGTTGGATGATGGTTAATAATAAATCGTGTGTCCGAGCACAGTTTGTTATATAACTACCTCTTTCAATTTCTGCATCCCTATCTGAAAGTTTATTCGCAACAGTTATAAATGCGATAAAATATTTTATGGATCTGCAATCAAATATTTCTACACATATATTTGCCACAATTAATTTTCGTACATAACGCATGATATTTCTCAAATAACTTTTTGTCTCATTTTGTTTTGGAATAACAATGTTTTCGGACATATTAACAATATTAATTATTCTTATTATTTTTTATTATTATTTGAAGTGTCATTATCTAGAGTATGATTATAAAAGTAAAAGATTTATTGCATCACAAGCTATTATTTTATTAATCATTTATTTTTTATGCAAACAAAAACTGAAGAGAAAACAAAGTTCAAGTTCAGGAATTTAAGAGAACTGAAATACGTTTTTAAAAATTAGTTTATAATTTATAATTATTTAATAATTATTTAACCTTCGCCTTGTATTTAATCGTTTATATTATATTTAATATAAAACTTACCTTTTATATTATAAAAAATCAAGGTTGAAAAATCCAGAAAGTATTCAATCTTAAAACAAGTTGCTTTTCTCTGAAAAAAAGAAACATTTTGAAGGAAGAAGGAGAATTAAATATTCATATCTATTTTTATAATTGCTTCTCTTTTTATTTAAAGAATCATTTCCACAGAAATTACAATGAATGTGATTATGCGTTTCTACGAAACGCAATAATAAAATGATGATTAAAATAATTAAGCTGCTAGGCAGATTTATGTTGTCCGGTATGTGTTTGCTATTCGACAGGAATTCGTTCTAGAATCTAGAATATATTTACTTCGTATGCAAAATGGTTGTTTCTTCGTTGTAAATGGATCGATACAAAAGCATCGATTACTCGGAATAGTCGCTCTTAAAAATCGATCGATTATAAAAATTCGTCGAGGCACGTGCTGTTATATGATTGTCAAGTCGACCCTGTCGTTCGCGATTCGAGTGAATCTTCCGAGAAGTACCGAGTACGATACATACGTAAAATGTATATAATATACGCACAACACGCGTAATAACTTTCAAAGAGGCAAAAGGAAACGTAAACAACTTGAAACTTTCATAAATTTCTATACAAAATAAGGAAAATTTTGTAAAACAGAAAAATGTTTACAGAAGGACTTACATAATAAAAATCTTTCTATAAGGACATTCCTAAATAATAATTCCTAATACGCATCCGAGATATTGTTTCTCGTGCGCGAACGACGTGTTAAGAGAAATACCTGTTCTCAATCATTGGCTTAAGCCTAAATCACCGATTAATACTTGTTTAATTCGCAACAAAACTATAATATCTTTTTCCTGTTTTTTTTTGCTCATACTTATCATCCTACCTTAGCAAATCGAATGACAGGTGCACACATGAAGTGCACATGGGGCTTCACGCGAATATTGAATTCGACGAACGTCAGCGACGTGTCGTAGAGTCGATCGTCGATACCGTCCGATCTCGGAGCATCCTGGTAATAGGGGAAAACGGGATCCTATAGTCGAAGATCTACGATGGAGAGGTCGCAATGTTTTCACCGAGCTTCCGCTGTTCCGCCCCTTCGCAGTATTAGCTTCCTGTTCCTTCTTCGTCTCGTTTCGTGAGAGCATGTTGTGGCCTTCGAGTATTATCACAGTCAGTAGCCCTTGATGTAGGCGGCGATGTGCTTCTTCTCCTCTTCCGAGAGACCGTTCTTTAACGTTCTACGCACTGAAAGAGAAGCATAACATAGTCGTTTGCGCTAATAATATTTTTTATTTTCTCGTAAGCAAATGTGACATAAAACTTTTTAAATGAGTCACACTGACTTACATTTCTTTCACCTTTCTTTTACGTAATAATATACAAATTATCTTTTATAATATTTTTTTATACATATAATAAAAATATTTTATTAATCTTTAAAACAAAAGATAATTTTAAAGTATTTCTCTAAGTTTTTCCAAAATAAAAATAAAAATTTAGACGCATTCAAAAATATTTGAGATTATTATTGTATGTTAATGTAGACTTTTTGCTTGAAATCTCTTAAAATATTTACTGAAACCTTTTTTCAATTAAAAAATTAATAAAAATGAGAAAACGATATGTAATGCATTTATGTTGCACTTCTAGTGTAGCGTCTTTGATATCGTTCATAGATTTGTAAATTTAACATAAATTGATAAAAACACACAAAACGATAAATTTTCTAAATGCGCATTATTTCCAGTGTATGAAATATGTATTATTTCGAAGAGTGTATACATAAAACATAGGACAAGTGAGAAAATTATAATCTATACAATTGAGGCATTCCAAGAAACATGCTGTAAAAATAAAGGAGAAACGTTATAATGGCGAATAAAATTTTGATGTCATATGATCACTTTTATGTTAATCCATCACCTACGAAATGTTGAAATGTTTCCTATGCTAATAGTTCTCTTTCATTAGTCCTTTCATCAATTCTATACTAATAGTCCTCTTTCATTAGTCTCTGATGTAAAATCGTATTAAGTTCAACAACGTTTAATTAATAAGCTGCAAGCACTTCAGTTAGAACTTCATACACTTTAGGCTCGCGCGTTGAGACTTAGTCAAACTTCTATTAATTTGCCGTCAGTAATTGTCAGCGATTGTTGCATAAAGGACATTCATTGTTAAATTTCGTTCATATGCATCGATTAAAATACCGACATAATCAGGTGAGATATTAATAACAGTATCAATGTACACAAGTGTAAATCGGAATTCTGTTACACATATCGCACTATTTCGATCACGTAAATAATTAACCGAGAGTTAATTTGCTGCTTTGTGTGTAGATTAGTCGACGTGATGGTTTGCCGATATGTCCAATAGCAAACAAACTGTTCGGAATACAGCTACGAAAGCTAACGATTATTGGTGGATATAGGAAATTACTGCAATCTATTTGAAATTTCTCCTCCAAAATGATACTGAGACAAATATATAGCAGTAAGTATGCGTGAAGACGTAATATTTGTACAGGGTGTTACAGATACATACTAGGCAGTACAATGGGTTGCGCGGCAAATTTTGCATGGGTAGGCGCCCGGGGGTAGGCGCTTAACCTATGCAAAATTGCCGTGCAACCCGTCGTACTGCCTAGTATGTATCTGTAACACCCTGTACAATGGTTGATTTTATAAATTGAAAAGCAAAAATGAAATAAAGGTAAACGTTCCAGTGATCAGACATGCATCTATGTCCGGACACTTACACAAAATTTATTAATATTATTAATCTTAAATGTTTTTAAATTCAATATTATAATTTAGTTGTAATTTTTAAATATAACTAAATTATAATATTGTATTAAAAATAACATTTGAGATTAATAATAATAAATTATGTGTAAGTGTCCGAATATAGGTATATGTCCGGTTAGTGGGACGTTTACCTTAAATATATTTATTTAAAATTTGTATCAAGGTAAAAAAATGCAATGTGACATGCAATACAAAAGTTCTTTTGACAAAAGAGAGAGAAATATAAATTTTTTAAAATACTATTCTTTAAAATTATATAAAAGTTGATAGAAAAGTAGGAAAGCAATATTCCGCTTATTTTTTGTAAAATTTAATACTCCCTTTCTTTACTTTTCTGTAATTTGTAAAATTTAAGTTTCTACATTATTTTTACAAATATTATATCATGAAAAAAATAGATTTGTCCTCTTAATTTAATTTAAGACTTTAATTATGGCAATTGATTTATTATTAAAGCTTTTTATTTTTATTTTCTGAAATATTTTCAATTTTATTTTCTGAAATATTTTAAAATTAATTAATAAAAAAGAAAAGTGTACAAAAGAGATTACAACATACAAAAAAGATCAATTATTTTAACTATTTCAAATTCGATACTCACTACAATTAATCCTGCTTATTAAAGTCAATGACAAATTAGAGCATTGTCCGGTAATTACGGTTTCATTACGGTTTGCAAACGTGGAATCGATAACACGAATGACCACAATAAACGTGATGTAAAGTACCTACTCGGAGATAATATCGCTGAGGACCCTCGATATCGATAATGTTATAGTTTCTTTCATCTATAATATCGTGTAACAAAGGACTCTCGATCACAAACTACCAACATTACTATATTTTCTTTCTTCGATAATTGCCCGCTATTCCTTTGATCCTTCTCGTTATCCTCGTAATCAACGCATTTGCGTTTGCAAAGGCACAGAGGGTAAATGGGCAAAAGAGTAAATCTTGTATAATCTTTTTTCTCACGGTAAAAAGTAACTACACTTTAAGTTTAAATATTTATATTCGTTTGTCATAGTTAAAAATTAGAGTAACTGAGATAAATACTTTTATAACAATTTTAATAGGAATACTTATGAATTAATAATTTTTTGCAAGACTGTAGGTTGTAAATAGTGAACATGTCACCATGGAAATTCACATATGAAATATTTCTCAGCGTTGTAAACAGCAATCTCTGCGTAAATTACTAAAATATTCATAAATGCAACATTTTTGCTTCCTGTCGTATTACATTCGAGCTGTTAATCTGCTGTCTTAAATTTTAATTTTTTTCATATAAACGACCATATATAAACGGGTAATAATTCTCTGCCTCCTTTTTTCCTATTCGTTGTTGCGAATTGATAGAATTTCGTGCCGCGAGGCGTTTCAATTTAATGTTGTTCAGTTAAATCGCTCGTGCTCTGGCGACTTTACAAACATGAAGTCCACGGGCTGATTATTTGCTGTTACACGTGGCACACGGATGGTACATACATGAATACAAGCAACCTACGCGTTGTGTTGTTAACGCGTTGTTAATGGAATGTAAACCGATTCTGCTGCGACCAGATCTCTCACAGCTTTTATCTATCTTTCCCAGCTTTTGAGCGAATTTATAATGATACCGAATTTCCATTGTATGAGTAAATATGATTATGATATAATATATATTATTATTACATTGTAATAGATTGCCGGTGCTAGATTGTCATGACAATTAGTCATTGAAAATGATATATTAAGTTAGAACGAGATTGTGTAAAAATATATATTACAAATGTATTTAATATCATATTGTTTTTTAATTACAAATGAATACCGTGCACGTATTAATTTTTTTACAGTATTTCATTATTGCGTGGTATTTTTGAATTTTTAGCTTTATAAAAAAATTATTGTAATTTTAATATTTTCTAAATTAGCGAATGTTGAATTTAATAATATATTAAATTTCGTTAAATAATATAAAAATTTAATTAAATATTAAATATTAAATGTTCAATTTTAATCAATACAGAACATGTTTGAATTAAAAAGGAGAATATTGTATATATTTTGATGAAATAAGTAATTTAAGTAAATAATTTTTTATTAAAAAATTATTTTTAAAAAATTCTGAAAATTACAATTGTAGTTTTTGTCTCTCAATTTTAATGCTTATTTCGGCAACACGTTAAGCAATTGCCATAATGTACGAAATATCGAGCATTGCAGATTGGCGGTTTATGTTCGACGTGATGTTAGCATGGTAATCAAAATCATAGTTTATGCTCAAACGATCGCACATTGATAAATCATTCGATGCCAATCCAAGCATTTCGTATCAATAATTTAGGAACCATGAATGTTGAGCGAATCGATATACGGATATCCTAGCGGAAGCAGATACTTCTTGCAAGTCGAACACCAATATTCTTCACATGATGCCAAAACGATTCAACATCTGCAGAACACTAAAAAGGAATTCATTTACCTATTGTTTTCGACAATCTTATATTAAACACTTTTCACTAATGTACTCTTCAGAAGTACTATTTTTAAAAATGATTTCATATCTGTGTTTTACATCTGTACATTAAATGCCTTTTCTATCAACATCCTCTAAAAACTTTCAGAAATCAATTTAATTTACATCCTTTTCTATAGAAGAAATTGCATAATAACTAATCACAAATAATTCAGAGCTACGTTTTTAAGATAAAAAAAATAGAATTAAAAATAATCATTAATCTATACACATTATATCGAGATACGATAAATTTGAGCATGATTACAAATATAAAGTAGATTAAGATTGCACGTGGCCGATTTCCATAGAAGTTTACATTTTGATGAGATATAATCAAAATTGCTAAGGATTATATTTATAAATATGCATGCATTCATATATGCATACGAGTGGTAAGAACACTCGTATCGAGCTTTAAATGCTAATAGATGAAAAGCGTGTGGGTTTATACCAAAGCGTCGGAAGTTCGCATGCAAGAGGGACATTCGCGTTGCGTAAGTCTCTATTAAGTCGAGAAACTTAGACACCCCAACTCCATTTAGAAAGTAAACTTTTTACTTACCCCTCCACCTCTCTCAAACGAACGCAATTTAGCCTCACTTATGCATATTATAGGAGACTAAAATTGCATGAAGTTCAAAGCGCACGATCCTAATGTATTCGGTTATCCAAAAGCAAAGTCTCAAAGTTTCCGAATAGCTTTTGGCTTTCCGCGAGAAGTCGTAATACATATTCCCTAATGCTTTTCATAGAGGAAACAACTATTATATGAATATCGATTTGATAAAGATGTGCAAATTTAACTAGTATTTGTTAAAGATAATAATTCGTTTTTATTTACATATATTTTGTTATAATTCCTATTTTTATTGTTTAATCCGAGGCGCGTGATCAGAATATATTTTCATAAAAGTTGAGATATAATACTATTTATATTAATATTTATTTATATATTAATATTAAACCAATTTGATATCGAGCTAGTAATAATACAATTTTTTTTTAATGATTGCAAACCAAAAAATGTAAATTAGTATTAACATAACAGCATCCTGACATCAAATAAAATTAAATTTTATGCAATTTTAACTATTTTGCACGATTTTCATTAGGATGTAATTTTAAATAAGATATAATAATATATGTATATGCTCTTTCAAACTAAATTTGTAAATTGAGTACATTTAAAAAGAGTAAAATATGTAGTTCGTTAAGTATCATCAATTCGTGTTAGTAATTAACAATTTTACTAATAAACATGCCACAAAATCGATATATTAGTATATATTAGAAAACAATATGTTTTGAAATCATGCAAACAGTCATGCTGGATAAAAGAAAAGGACCATAAAGAAGAAATTTAAAAAGCACTGAACCTTAATCGCAGAAATCACGTAAACCCTGGCCCATCAGGGTTGATACCCTTCCGGCGTGGTGTTGTTCTCTCGGGTGCGCGATCGCTTCACTGTCGGACAGAAAGAAAAGAGACGCAAGAACGCTAGGCCACCCCGTTAGCAAGCTTTGCCGCTAATCTTAACTAAAGTTAAGTTATTGGAGCGTGCCCAAGTTGTGTTAGAAATAATCTTTGAATCTACTTCGTAGATCATTGAACATGAAGGTAAAATAAGACCATCACCGTAGATTCCGTGATTTGATCAGAGAAGGATAATTGAACAAAGAATGGATCGGGATTCTGATGAAGAGGGAAAGCAGGATAGATTCTCCACCCCCGAGAAATATCTTTGGAAAGTTAGGCCGAACATGCTATCGTAGCGATAAATGTCTCTTTACAGTTGCTTTATAATTTATCTCAAATTTTATACATACACTTTTGAATTTACTATATTACGTGACAGGTTGCATTTTACAAAATACAGTATTTTGCTAATCTTACTAATTTATTAAGATTCCTTCAAAATTTTAACAACAATAAAGAGTTTTAAATACGTATTATAAATCTAAAACTATAAAAGATGAACAGCCCCTCTGTAAAAAGTAACTAGGATTGGAAATTTATACTTTCCGTGTACAAATAAATGTTACATATAAAACAGTTCAATAAGATCAATATTCATGTTTAACAATATAATTATGAGATAAGTTTTCTCATTTACGTTAATTATTTTTTTAAAAACATGTATGTTTATGAAATCGTTATTGAAATCGTTTTTTATTCAGATTTTAAATCACCGTCACAAACATTTTGTATTATATACTTTTAAATGTAATAAATCTGTAATTCTTCATAATTTTTTAATTTTGTTAAAAAGTACGTGTAATACATTCTTATATAAATCATGTAATAAATAATAGTATTATATAAACATGAAAAATTCGAAATTCTAGTACAGAAAATTATTTATATTTATAGTGAAGTATAAATCGCTTAAAGCTAAATACACCGTTTTCCTCTGAATAATAGTGGAACAGAGTTACGTGCTCGACGCGCTCGGACGCGTACTGAACCGGCTTATCATAAGTATCACAAGAGGAAAGATTGCCAAGCCACTCGGTGATCGGATTATGGTGAGATTTACGCGCTATCGGTCCAGTAAAGGATTATTTCAACTTCCTACTGAGATCGATCACTGGCCCCGCAAAATAGAAACGGAAAAACGCCACAATCTACCCGCATTATGCTGCGTTATGTTATCTCGACATCAGACTGCTGCATTTTCCGTTACCAGATTTCCAATTATGTTCGCGCGTACATTCTGCTCTGATCACTGCATTTTCCGGCAAAATTTCTTTTATGTTTGGTAAGAATTACATTGAAATTTTGCGCATTATCTGTGTTTCTCCACTTTGTACAACGTTTCGTGAGATTCATATTAAACTTCAAAAACGTTTTCTTTAGAAGACTTTTTTCAACGATAATTTTATTTTTCCTCGGCAATACTTTAATTAAATGACTATAATAATGAAAATTAAAGAATTTTAGCTTATTAATTTCTGAATAGATAACAAATTTCACTTTTTAAGTTTTCCAAATAAATTTTAACAAGACTTTACTGTGACACTTTATTTTAATAAAATTATTTAAATAACTTAAAATATTTAAAAGTTTCTCCTATTATTGTATCCTTTAACCAGATTCTGAATAAAAAATATACCTTTAAAATGTGCAAGATTTTAAAAGAAAATATGTATTTAAAACAAATATTTTCTTTCTCGTCATATTATATTATGCTTTATATTATCATAATTAAGCGTTATTATCATTTATAATTTTATGTTACATATTTCCACATCTACTTTGAAAGCACCATCTGAATCATCTTAGCCCAAAGAATAAAATGGTATAGTACAAGATATTATTATTAAATTTCGATCAGTTGTAATAATAGAAGTTGAGATAGCATAAATGAGCACGAGTATTAAAGTAAAGATAGGCTGAGGTGCTAATAAAGTGCATGGAAAGTATAAGATAGACTGAATCGACGACACGCGTACGATCGCATGTTCGATCTAGGGCGTCGACGCCGACATCTCCAAACTTCTCGTTTATCGATCGACTTTGGTAGCCTCATAGCTCTATCTGTGGACCAACGGTTATCAATAATGTATACTTCACACCGAATAATTCAAGGCTCTCGTGGCGTTGGAAGCTATTGGAAAATTCTGCGGTTAACGCCCAGTACCTCCTGTTACCAATAAAACTTTAATGGCAAATTTTCACGCTACTTATAAATTTTTGTCCCATTATATGTAACAAAATGTATTATTTTCCCTTCCCTTTATCTTTCTTTTTCTCTTTCTCTCTTTTTTCATCTCTTCTCTCTAATTTATTTTATATGATATTAAAATAATACTCAGCTACCATAAAATAAAACTAACACAATTAACATATGAGAACAAGCATCATTTTTATTAATAAATTTTTCCACGATAATGAGCATAATACACAAAAAATTATGCAAAGGAAAGATACGAATTTGATGCAGTTTACTCCAGTTTAAATTTATTATTAATTATCCACTGAGGATGGCTCAAAATTGAGTTGAAACGTTCGGTTTATTATATTGTTTAATTTATTAAATTATTGAAGAGTTTGTCATTATTCCAACAACGCACTAGTTACTAACTTTCACTGCCATTTTTCCTTTTTTTTTTTATTGTTATGCTGAATTATTGAGAGTCCTTCTTATTGCAGATTACATTTACTAATAATATTACAAGTATTTTGATTAATATTTTACTTCTTTTAAAGTCTTTAACTATCGCACTTTAATTAATTACGTAATGTAATTTAAAAAATTGGCAAATTTTCCGACGAAATATTTACGTTGTGTCCATACACAGATATGATATAATTTAGGAATCTAATAAATTATCGAATGATAATCAATTCCTCGACCAGAGATCGATCGATAATGATAGGAAAGGAGAATCTGGGTGCATGGTGCTGGGATCACACTTACAAGACTTACGATCGGCGTGTCTGGTCCTCTTGCGTTCGCGTGGCGTGGTTCTAGTGGCTGGCGTTTTTGTTGCAGTTTTCACCAGAGATTCCAATAATTCGTCAACGCCATCAGCTAAATTACCATTGGTGCTTTCGTCCCTGAGTACCGGACCCAGTGAAATTATACGTCCTAGAACATAATAATATCTTCTGTTGCCCTATGAATACATTCCAAATTTTTTTCGTAATAGCTTTATTTTCAAAGTAGCATATATTACGTAGCTCTGTATTATTTATAAATATACGTTATATATTAAAAAATTAGATATATAAATCATTAATAAATTTAAATTCATAATCCAATTATTTGTCATAAAAACAAAATTTTTCTATTTATAAAGTAAATTTTGTATTTATTTCTAAAAATTTATTTAGAGAGAAAAGAGCTAGATGACAATGCAAATTGTTAATGCTGATTTCAATTATTATGTTCAACTAAGCGCACGATTTCTTCAGTTATAAAATACATTTTTCTATTTATTCATGGAAAATATGTTCAAAAAAGAAAATGTGTTTAAGTAAAGACAATCCTTTGTAGAATATCGCGTATCTACAAGATTTTTCTTCCACATCGTCTCACTATTTCATTTCTTACAATCACCACATCTAGTCCGCAGGGCAGAAACTTCGAAACCGTCAAATACACAGAATTTCTTCCAGAGCTTCTTTCAAACTCGTCCCAGAAAAGCTATCGTAGATACAGGTACGCTCTCGATACAAGGACTGTGGAAAAAGAGAAGTAGGAAGAGGATGAGAGGGTGGTAATAGAATTTTCATGAATGAAACGAAAAGAGGAAGGAAGAGATCCTTAAGTCTCGCCTATTACGCGTTCTTTGACGGCCGCAGATCAATCTAGACAATTCATTTTCGTGGTTGCTCTACCATAAGGAATGTTAAACGCTTTCAAATGGCTTCCTGTTCGTTGATCTGATCTGCAGGCTCTGATAATATGTCCTACTTAATGTATTCGTTGCACAAGCAATTGAGAAATAATGCAATAAATTTGTGATTAAAAGTAAGTCAAGAAATTATATAATTACTTTACTTAACGTTGATTGTTAAAATATATTTGATCAAAACAATATACAATCACGAAGTTGCGTTTAATAATTGAATAGCAATGTAAATATAATATTCCCGTCTTATATTTACTATTTATTTTGACATTTCAATTTTTAAATATTACAACTCTCTATTTTTATTTAAAAAATTGTGAAAAATAAAAGTTTCATCCCTATCAATATTATTAAAAAAAATTTCTTACAACTTTTAATAATGTTAATCCGTTTTTTTTGTAAATATAAAAAAGTTAATTTCTTTAAAAAGTATAAATATTTGTAACATTTTTATTCAGAAAAGTTCAAGAAATTTCATACTTCTCGCAATAATCAGTTACTAGATTTTGTTTAGTAGAACTAGAATGCTATAATGGAAGTAATAAAAAAGAAACAAGAATAAAGCTAACAGTTGCGTGTAACGATTAATTATATCTAATATGTTCAAAGTATTGTTATATTACTCAGCAAATTGTTAAAATAAATCATCGCGCATCGTCCACGATCTTTGTCGCACAACTTGCGAAACTTTTCCAGCTGTGGAGGGCTATCATATCCAGCTGAAAACGCCAGCACGACTTAGACGGGACGTTTAGATACTTTATGTCATGGCATACAAGGGAATAAAGGAGAGAAAAGTTATGATGGCCGCAGCCATGGTAATGCACGTGGGTGGTTGAGTTTACGAGCCGGATGGGCACCAACCACTTGGTTCCTTGAGTTGGCCCAATCCTCCGCGTATCCCCCTCTACGCAAAAGCGGGAATAAAAATTCCACGTTTCCCCAAGAAAGAGGTGATCCACAGTTACAACGTAATATCAGTCTTACAAGATCCAGGATGTCAGTCGTTTCTGCTGGATCTTTTTTCAAGGTGGCTTTACCGTAGATTTTGATTGTACGTATCATAACAATGAATCTTCGTTATTTTAAATAAATAGCTTTTCGCGCAGATAGTTAATATGAAATTATTTTATTGTAGTATTCATCGCAATGGAATAGAATCATATTTAATATTCCAAATATTTAATTAAAGAAGATACCTAACCATAGAATGAGTAGAGTTTCCAATAATTTCAAAGTAAAAATATATTTATTTATAAACATATTAATTTTGTATCATCTTAATCTGTAATCATTGTAACGTGGTTAATCTTTAACAAATAATTAAATTTAATTTTCAGATTATTGTATTTATTACAAATGATTATGAAGATCTAAATTCCAGTAATTAATTTTAAAAGTGTGAATGTGTGTAAACCAATTTAAAATATTCTTCTGAAGGTAAAAAAAAATATTGACTTGCTAATTATATTCATTGAATATTTATTCATATAAAGAATAAATACGATAGCAGGTTCGTAGAGACTTTCGTAGAAAAAGAAAATTGGCAAGAAGAAAGTACGGAAGATAACAAGTTTGTGAACAATGTTACGATAAAACTTATAACATCGAGTCCAATAGAATTCTTTCGAACAAATTCAAGGAATAAATTTCTTAGAGGCTGTTATTTACGCGATACTTTTTCGCGCCGACTCGAATAATATCCACGTCGCTTCGAATATTCCCTCTGGAAGTTAACTACTTTTACATTCTGCCCTCTTGAGGCAAAGTTATCATCTTATGTAGCGCGCGTAAAGCGCAATAAAGAGTGAGTAAAACAAAATTTTACTCAAGTTGAAATTTTTCTCTCATGAATACCGAATTTATGAAGCAACGCCGTCGAAGGCATCCTACCTTAACGCTTCTCGCAACTGAATGATAATGCTACTTACTGCTAAGTTACATTTACGGCTTAACGGTATAGTGAATATACGCAATCTCGAACATCATCGCGAATTTTGGGCAAGAAAATTCCGAGTCGCATAAAAGAGAAACTTGTACGAGTATCCTCGTGCAAAAGCAATAAAGATAACGAACGGTGACTTATGCGAGTCGGTAAGTTTCACATTCGACTAAACACGGAAGAAGGAGAAAAGAACTGTGTGTCCGCGAACGCATCGTATAATCACAAAGACGGCAACGCATTTACTTCTCGTTTTCCGGTAATGTCGTCAAATGACCCGGCGCTATCCTTAAATCTTGCCTGCAAGAGCCGCTGCTTAAGGGCGACATTTATCTCGCGCGCGTCGCCGCCACCACCGAGCTGGAACATTACGGAGATGAAGAGAAATTCTCGCACTTTGTTCTTATCCGCAGTGGAACAGCCGACATGGCCGTCGTCCTTTAGAGTGCGTTATTTTCGCGCAAATTAAAAGCGAGCCTAAATAGAGGCTAGAAAACCGCAGTCATATTACAGTGATAATACCTCGTTCGTCCAATCGCAAAAATGAGAACACTCAACTTGGGATCTTTACTTAATTCATAAATTAAAACATAAAATTTTACAGCAACAACGCTATGAATTTCAAACAATTCGTTTTTAACATGAATTGCTTATTGCTTTGAACTGTGTAAAATGAGGTATTATAAGATATTGTTTACTGCATATTTACTAGAAAAAATTTATTATGATATAGATAAAATTAACCAATGCAAGAATATAATGCGCTAAAACAGGAAGAAGAAACATCCAGGAGCATGTACAAAAAGATCATATGAAAAAGGTCTGACAAAACTTACCGTCTTTCTTCTGTCTTCTCCATGGTAAAGTGCCGTGGATACTCTCGACATCTGAAATGTCACTGCCAAGTAGTTGTCTGAGTTCCGCGTCCGCTCGATCCTCTTTTGTACGAAACTTACCGACCTGTAATAAGAACATCAAGATTTTAAACTTGCAAAAAAAACATGAAAAATTTTATGAAAACAATATATTGTAAAAGTAAAAAGAAATTAAATAGCGCTTTATTCAAATATAAATGATATTTAAAAAATAACTTTATACTCTTATATCAATATTACAAAATAGCAAATGAATAGTAATCAAAGAGAAAAGATTTAACACTCTACGCTAATTAATATTTACGATTAATATTATGTAAGCTAACCCAACTCAATATAAATATATTTTAGTCGATGAAATTCGCTATGAAGGTTTTCAACTCGAGATATACAAAACAAAAATGACTTACCTCTGTTATCATCTTTCCTCTGGTCTTATTGCGTTCTCGATGATTGGCTTTCTTCTCGAGCTGCTGTATCACTCGTTCCCTAGTGGTTCTGTACTCCAGAGCAAATTCGGACACAATCCTACAAAACTCGTTTGGTTTTGTGTCTTGTATCCTGTGTAGTGGTATACCCAACCACAGAATGAATTTGCGGAAACGGTTTATGATACGTCTGTGAACGATGCCTAAGACGATTATCCTTTCGGCACAATCAGCAAGGAAATCAGACATCCTGCGTTATAAAAATAAAATAATGTACTTTTTCAAAAAAATGTATGTTTCAGCAAGTAACTGTGAAATATATCAAATAAAACTTTTAACAATTTTTTACTAATAAAATAATTTAATAAAAAAGATATTGACTAGAAAAATATAGTACGTATCGTATACATACGTGTTATTTTTGTTGCTAAAAAATATCTTTGACTTATTTAATTTTTTTTAAATGCGTGAAAAGCATAAAGTGTTTAAAGAATAAAAAACTAATTAAAAATATCACAAAAAATAAAAAAATAAAAGTTTATTGAGAGAATGCAAGTGCAGCGCGAATGATTACAGGCTGAAGGAACGAAGGGAAAGACTTATGGGAGGAGAAAATGTCCGTTCGGTAATTAATGGAAGCCCCACTTGGATAGCAGCCAGTTTCGCTGAAAAAAAAAGCTCTATCCCGAATTTATCGAAGCCACTTGGGACTTCTTAAACACAAACACTTAGAAAGACTCACAGGAAAGCAGAACGAGAGAGAGAATCACGAAAATTGGTTCGGGGGCTAAGAAACTCGGCAGGAATTATACTCACTTGACCTTCATCATCGTAGAACCATCGTGCTTCGCAATGAGCTTGAGATGGTCCCAAGACGCTTTGCACTCACTCTCGAGTTTCGCGATGTTCGCCGCCAGCTCGTCGAAATCGATTTTCGAGGCTCTCGTTACCGCACCAATCTGAAAGCAGAACCGCGTTGGCATTGTCGAGAAAACTATTCCAATTGTCTTCAAGAAATATACAAAAAGATTAACATAGTTTAAAATTTATCTGAAAGAGATACATAAAAGTATTTACTTCTTTCTTTATTTTATCTTTATATTATTTCTTCAATAAAAATCGTTTTAAATCAAACGAGTCGTGTATTTATATGTAGTTAAAATATTGTATTCGCGTAAATTATATGAAAATTATAATTGCAACATATTGCTTCTATTTTAATCTAATTTATATCTTTTAATCTTTTTTTTAAAGCTACATCACATTAATCTTTGATATTATACATCCAAAAATTCAACAAAATATGGAGAAGAAAACCGATTGTGTGATAGAATAAAATAAAATCGCGTAACAAAAAAATTTCAGAGAGCACGAGCTCTCTGAAACGTGAATTTCATCTCTATTTCATAAATATATAATAGTACAACTGTAATATCACGACAAAGTAAAGTTCTCTCTAGTTTTGATCGTACTAACTGACTCTTACCTCGGAATAGAGGTCTGTAGAATCCGGAAACTTCTCCATCACCATGTGGCAAAGATGATGAAGCAACGAGTGTTTGTGAACCGTATCCTTCACTTCAGGTACTTTGACGAGGTATTCTAGTTGAAAGCCCTTCACCTGAAAAAGGATGAAGGCTTCACGTCGTGACACGACGTCCGGAAAAATAGCGCATCTCATTTTGATGCTCGTAAATATTTAGATTTATTTATAGATTTTTTATGTTATATGATAGAGAAATTTCTATAAAATAATTGCGTCGCTCGAAAATTAATCTGATGCAAATCTAATTGCTGGAAAACACATTAGACTAGAACTTTTTTAATACAGTGGATATTCCGTCAAAACTTCCGAAAATTCCGGCGCTATTCCAAGGATAAATAGCGGACCGTGATTGCAGCAAAACTCCGTATTAAATCGAGATTGTTTTCGAAAAAATGTGGCAGTCAGCCAAGTAGCATGAAAGGTATCCTACCCAACCAGTAGTTAGAAATTATCGATATCGTTAGGTTTTGAGCTGTTACGATCTCGGGACAGACGGATTAAATGGATATTATTTGGCTGGCATTCAATACCTACCTCATTTCCGTTGAGGAATATCCCGATCGAAAGGAGTGTGCTTAGAATCCCACGGAACGTTTTATTCACTCGTAAGGTCTCCATACCCTGTTTCAAATCCATTAAAGGATCTGCGATTTCCTAGAAATTACAAAAACCGTCCCATTTTTATTTCCTCGCGAAACTCATAATTTGTATCATTGATTTTCAAAAACATATATCTCATAGTTGCATGAGAATTGAAAGGAATCATTAATTCATGGATTATTATGTTTTAATTAAAAGCGAAAATCAGAATAAGAACCATTTTTATACAAATATTTTTGTAATTTGCATATGTTTTTTTCCAAATTCATATATATAATATCAAATCTACCATAGAGACACTCCAATTAGAGTCTGTGGACATAAGCCGCATTTCGTATGCAGGATTTCTAGTTTTATAAAACGTTTTATTAAAGAGAAAGATATTTACTATTCTTTTCTCTTATTTCTCCTATTCGATCTTTTCCTTTTCTCTTTCTCTCTCTCTCTCTCTCTCTCTCTCTCTCTTGTAATTGCTAAAATATGGCGGATTGATCAAAGTGGCTGTTTCGTGTCTTGACTCTGATTAGGTCTCTAGAATCTATATAATTTAAAAGCGTAAAAACAGAATAGCAAAGTATGACTATTTCAATTTTAAACTCAACATTTGAATTTAAAACCACAATTTTTTGTTCATTATTATCTATGTAATAATTCGGATCTAAACATTTTTTTTATTAACTTTATCGATATTCCTTTGCAAGTATTTTTGAATTAATCGATTTGACTGAGAAATGACGTATCGCATATTGCAAGCATACACAAGTGTATACAAAATGATTCGTATTTCCCGGCACGAACTATTTCACGCTTCAGTTACAGTCGAACGATATCAAGAAAGTCAGGTCGTCGAGTGACCTCTCTTCGAGTACAATATCGGAATTTGCCATTTTGTCGTCGAAGAAATACGTGGAGAATGCTCTTCTACCTACCGACTTCCTCTCCTACATTGCTAACATTCCTTTCCATCGTTCCTTGATAATCGCGATGAAATCCACGCGAAATCAAAGGCAAAAGAAGAAAAGAAATATAAAAAACCAAATTAATTATTAATATGTATTAAAGTAATATTCAACAAATATATAACTTCAAATTGAAATTACGAGTCGGATTCATGGAAAAAATTATTCCGAATTGTTAACAAAATTATATTTACAAACTCTTAAAAGTTTCACTTTTCTATTATCTTGTCTTTCTGTTTTATTATATAATATAGTTTATGTAAAAATATATATTCACAAAAAATTAATGAAATTATATTATATATTATTGTTAGAAATAATATTAGATATTATCGTTGAACATTTGATGTCTTGTAAAGAATTAATATTTTCGAATTATTATTTTAAAATTTTATCACGATACCATTGGCTCTCAAAAGATCAGCAAAGGAAGATTAAGTGTATTATTAGATACTGTTTGATGCGCAAGCGATCATGTCTCTAACAGTGACACGCGCGATCATAAATTAAGGCGTAAAGCAAGAGATTAAAATCCAGTTTTATTTAGAAAAAAATAAAAAACAAAATTTATGTTATCTTCTACAAAAAAGTTGAAATTATAAGTGCTATCTCTATTGATAAGTTGACATTTTTATTATGTAATATTGTTTAATTGAGATACAATAAAGTTAAAATTTTCTTTAATTAAATAATCGTTTACTAAACAATAACGTAATATTTTACTTAAAAAAACGCTTGGTTACAAATTATCGACACTAGAATAGTAAATTCTCCTATTTTTTTGCAAATAATTTTATGTACAAAACCAACAATTAAAAAACAGAAATTTAAAAAGTTTACTGTTAAATTGTGTGTTTACTAAGAAATATATGATTATATAATATTAAGACTTACTTTCTCAGAATTTTCGAAGTCTAGCTTGAATGCCCACAGCTTTAGCCTTGCTGGTAATTCCGAAATGGAGGTCAAAGTTAGAAGGAACTGTTCGGCCGATCCTAAAGGAAGGTCGGGATTGGCAGCTTGTGCCTCTTGTATCCTGGACTTTTCTTCCTTAGTAGGTAGCATTGTTAGCAGTTTCTATTGAGAGGGTTTTGGAACGAGGAGGGAAACAAATAAAAAAAAAGTCAATCCAAAATTAGAGAAATTAGAATAAACTCGAAACTAGAATACATAAGTGCATTTGAACTAAATTTCGGGATTGATCATCACACAACAGAAAGTTAAAATTTTTCAAAGCTTTCTATTAGCCAGTAAATTAAAGTAGCATCGACACGATTCATGCAAACAAAAGTTAAAAAATTGATTAAAAATATATAATTTAAATAGACACACTATACAGTTTAAATGAATAAAGAGTGAAAAATAATAACAATTAATCTTGCTGTAAGAATTTTTAAATAATTTTCACTTAATAAAAAAATATTAAAACTGCCAAAATATATTGTATACGTTCACGTTTTTCTTTCCCAAATCTGCATTGTATGTAAAAATATAAGAAATATTTTCTAATTTTTTAACAGTTTTTTGAATGTTATAAGAAATAGAAACTGAAAGTAAAAAATAAAACAGCCATATTCTCACCTCGATACCCTCTCTATTCATAATTGTAGCATCCATTTTCAAAATCGCAGTCTTGATGGATCTTGGCGGCGGCAGTTTCGTCATACCAATGTTAATGGCGTTTGATCTTTTATGATTTAGCACAATAATTTCCTTGTTCTTGTTCATCTCCTGCTGTTTCTGTTTACCAACAACAAACAAAAAATGTTCGATTATATCAAAACATTTGCGCGTGATATAACTTCGATATTCTCTTCGTTATTACTTTGTAGCACTTGGAGTTATTACGGAACGATTAGTATTTTTTACCGTGCAACAAAAATACTCCGCTATAAAAACACATGAAAACACATCAAAAACTACCAAACATTCGAACGTTACACAGATTCGTGAAAATGTAGCGTCAGGATATATTGAAAATACGCCACTAGAATGGGATAAATGTAGCCATTCTCTTTTGATTGCAAGTGGAGATATATACGTATACGGACGACGTTGGATGTTCGTTGAAATGATTTCGCTATAGATAACAGTTCTCCAAACACTTTGCAATAGACGTAATAAATGTCACACGATAAAATCATAAAATTATCCTTTATAAGTTTACACTCATTTATTACAAAAAAATATATGTGCATAATGTCCAAAGCAAATAAATTATGCAAACGTTTATGGTTTAGGTAGAATAAATACAAATAAAAATTGAAAAATGTATTATAATATTAATATGTTATAAAATATTATACATATTGTATAATAGCAGGTAATTTAAAATAATGTCTCAAATAAAAGTATATTGAAAAATAAAACGTTTTATATAATTTTTAAAACATAAATTTATATTAAGCAAAGTAGATATTAAAAATTTGAAATTTTTGTGCCAGTTACATATTTATTTAATTTTTTAAATCATAAATCAGTTTAATAAAAATCATCTAAGAATAAAAAAATACAGGATAAAAACTTTTATATTAGATTTTTAAAACGGTACAGACAACATAAAATTCGTAAATCGTTTTAGTCACTGACAAAATAGTTTATCTGCTATTAAAGTCGATATAACAATGAAATAAAAGCAAAAGATCGTAATTATTAATATAATTATAGGTATTGTCATAACAACATTAGAAGAAACATCCTTTATTAATGATCTTTAATAAATTGATCAATTACAGTAAAAAAATTCCAGTACAGTACAGTAAAATAACAACCGCAAGAGCTTACAACAGCGATTTACAAAGTACGTGAAGCAGTCTCCTTGAAAAAAGAAATACCTTCAGCAAAGTTTTTATCAATTAGTGCATCATTGTCAGCATGAAATCGATTGGACCAGTATTCGTAAATAAACGCACTTAGAACGCATGCATTTATATTAACGATCACTAAAACAACGCCGAAAGTTAAAGAATTAAGACTCACCTCCTGTAAAATTCCAGCATGCCATTTCGTTCATATTTTTTCGTGCGAGCACCAACAACATTGCCAAGAATACAAGAAGATAATTAGTCGTATTTCAATAAACCACCATCACTATCACCACCCTTACTACTATCCGACCGCCGTCATAATCATTATTCATGATCGTTATCATAACCGTTATCCTCACGCGATACGCTTAAGTACGTTATTAAATTAGCCGACGTTATTATACAGCGCTTATTCGATAACTATACATACATATGTGGCCGAACATAAAACTAAGTGAAAGTTAATAAGAATTAAACTTTACTTTAAAGTAAGTCTCTTATTTCACATCCTTCTATGTAACAGAATAAAAGAGATATATGTTTATCATATACTATTCATTTATGAACGTTAATAAAATTTTGCCAATTTTGATATACTATTTTTATATATACAGAAATATATAAAAACATAAATGTCATTTAACTTGTTCATGTAATGAAAACAATATTAAAGTCATAAAATCATAATAAAATTCGTATACAAGTTATATGTACAAAATAAGAATCATAAAATGGCTTTATCAACATAGCTTATTATTTCTAAAAGAAAGCTAAATCAAGTCATCAATTTAATTTTAATGCACATTGATATCTAATCATCTTAATATCTTTGTACGAACAATAAGTTATATATCAAATTTCAATATAATGTAAAAAAATTAATTTTTTTAATTTATAAAAAATCCTCATTTTCAAGAAAAAATTAGTAACAGTAATTAGAAATAAACAGCAAAAATACAATAAAAATCCTTGAGATAAAACATAACAAATTCAATTAAATTAGAAATAATGTGTCATAAATTCTTAATGTGTGAGATATTAAAAAATATTTATTTTCCATATATTATCACGAAAAAATTAATTTCGCCTTTTCTATAAGTAAATATGACAAATTAAATTGTCTTTATTGTTACTATTATATCATCTTTTACTTAAATTGATTTCATCAAGTTTTCTGTACAATTGTCCTTATGGCACAGTTTGTGTAGCATTTGGTTTTTTCTTATTAATTTGGTTTGGAACATGTGGCTTTCATGATCCTAATTTACGATATTACGAAACCAAGTGCAACTGTGCACAACGTCATTATTTGCGTCGAAGGCGAGTTTCCTTTTATAATTTTGCTCCGTTTACACCCTTGTTTCGTCGCCAAAGATTTGTAATTTTCTTGGCATGCGGCTACTTTTTCCGCTGTTTTTTATGAGCGTAGGTCGACTGTAATTATCGGTGTTCTAAGCGGGTTCAAAGGGCGAGAAAGAGCTTGTGTCGGAAACAACCGGAACGGAGAAATAATACGGCAGCTTTCAGTAACGCTCGAAAAATACGCGCAACCCAGTCGCAGTCTCTCTACCGTGCAATATCTCTTGCTGCGATTTAGTTGCGCGCAGACGTGAAATACACAGGTGAGAGGAAACCAATATACCCGCGCTGTGTAATTACTGCGGTAATTAACGACGATATTCTCTACTCGATTGCAATGCTTCGGTACAATGCCAGTGAAAAATTTTTGTAGTTTTCTGGCGCGCACGCGTGTGTGTGTGTATGTATACGTTTACGTGTAAAATCGTTTTGTAAATTATATATATGGTGACTATATTTTATCTATGTGTAATAGAAGAATTAGCAGTACACGTCACCATATATATTTTACAATATTTTTTCTCTAACTTATATTTCCTCATCAGATGTAAAATTGCTATGAATAATCACATATATTGTAGTTTTAAAAAATCCAACGTATTCAAAAGAAGTTAAAGTCATAAACTAAAAACTTATATAACAAGATTAAATTTTATTTATTTTTAAAATTGTATAAATTTAATTATAATAGAAAGTTTAATAGAGAAACTGTATAAAAGTCAATATATACAATATATTTTAATGTTATAATATTTTATATCTTATTTATTTTTAAAACACTCCAAAAGCTATTTATATTTGTGAAGTATTAGGATAAATTCAAAGATTAATGTAGAAAGAAGCAGTATCAAAAAATTAATATACTATTAGTTTCACCTAATAAAAAAAATTACTAAATTATCTGACACGAGTATAATCCAGATCAAATAAATTGATCAGATAAATTGGCGAGATTTGATTAGTTCGGTCACATATTTTTAGAAATTGATTAACGTATTAGAGTATAATATCTATACTTTATCTTTGGTAACTAAGAAGTAAAATAACATTAAATATTAATTAATATTAAAAGTATAATATAAAATATAAAAAGTAATATAATATAATATTTTCTTTTTTAAAATAATTGCAATTGGAAAGTTGAATGTAATTGTTTTTACACTACGGTCAATGAAGAAAATAAAAAATGTTCTTTTCGCCACTTTGTAACTGTTAATTTACAATTACGTTATTAATTATAAATGAATGATAAATTCTTCCTAATATTTTTTAGCATTTCTATTAAAAGTAATCAAGCAGACGCGATAGAAAGATGTTATCCCCTTTAAACGTTGTAACCCTAACCTGCTAGATCAATAGAAGCGTTTATGTACACAAGATTATGGGTATATGCTTTGTGTATATTGGAATTTTAGTTCTAAGAAAAAGTCGTTGTAACAATCTTGCATAAATCAAATTTGGATATTCGCTTTTCATATTGCTACAAAATTAACGAATCACAAAACGGCTATTACTACAAGCAAATCAATACGAATTACTAAATAAAAATAAATTGGAAACTATAATTATAATTTTCTAATGCGTCATTAAATATCATTCTTAATCTTCCTTCAAAAATTTTCTTAAATGTAACTTAGTGTAACCAGCTGTAACAGTCGTTACTATCTCGACGATAAGTAAAGCTTACTTAAAGAAGACACATCAAATAAAATAAAATAAATAACATAGCGAAATATAACTTCCATCTTTACCTCGTTAAAAATTTCGAAGAATATCGTATAAAATTACAATGTACACTTCGAAAGGCAGTCGAGGGTAGATCTCGTTTAAATGAGCATTGCTCTTATGTTGTTCCCTTCAACCGTCCGTTCGAAATGGTGAAACTCGCGGTTCGTTGCACTTGTATAACGAAAACGATCTGTGTAAAAGAAATCATACATGGAGACCACTCACCTTGGTGATGAGATCCTTAGCGCGACTCTCGAAAAGATGCTCGAGCTTTTGTGTGTCGACGGCCACAGGCGTTAGTTCGTCCCAGATCATCTTGTGTTTTTCGAGCCGTGCAAGAATGTTGGGATCGTCTCGTACTTCCTTCCAGAACAGCTTCACCGTCTTCTTGCTCTTCTTCGCGAGTAACGATGGCGGACTCTTTGGCGTGTTACTGGTCTCGTTAGTTAGTAGCAGTGGCCTCGACATCTTCAAACTGACACCGAATGGCAGCGGGGGACCCTGAGGAAGGGGCGGTGGCAATCTCGCCCCCAACGGCGGTGGCGGAGGTGCTGAAACATCTCCATTTGGAGGTGCCATCGGTGGTGGCGGCGGTGGTACTCCATTCGTCACATTAGCAGATCCCAGCACATCGATCTCATCTTCGGAATTTAGATCGGTGAAATCCAAGTCGCAAAGTGCCAATGGTCTCTTCAGTTTCTTTACCAGTTCCTCCCAGTGCAGTTCATTCTCTGATTTCTTCGTTTCCTGCAGTTTCGGCAAATTATCGCTGGTTGGCGACTTTAGTACGTCCGCTTTTGACTTCGACTTCGCTAGACCTTCTTTTGCTTTCGAGATCAACCCGCTCATATCTCCTATCCTAAAGACATGCATAAAAATGGCCCAAATTATATATTTTGTATAGCAAATGCTAACAATAGAATATTTTACAGAATAAAAGATAGGAAACAAGAAACGAGCTACATTTAGATAAGCTATTAAAATCAAATAAAACACATTCATTATACACATTAGTGACACATGTGGTTATCGATTAATTATAATATTATTCTCCAATATTGAATTTCTGAATTACTTTAATTATGTTAATTAATTGTTATATACAAGAATTAAACCCAATGTAATTACTGCAGCTTTAAATTTGGTTAAACACGGAAATAATCTCTACATTTAATTCTGGCAGTTCTGACAATATAAACTCTTATGCATTTATAATATCAAAAATTAGAATTATTTCAATTAAATATATGTCTATAGTATATGTATTATTATATAATTTGATCATTTCGAAAGCATTCCAATAAATTTTGTCTCCCTGATAATTTAATTTATTAATATCACGTTATAATATTTCAAATAACATTCATTTTATAGTAATATTATTTATCAATTATCTAGTTTATATATTCTTAAGATTATCTGATGACAAAATACAAAAGCTAAGGTTTCTTATCGATCTGTAGAAAGTTTCGTATCCGATGAAGAAGTAACTTTTATATGAAACGTTGTACTCTTGCAATATCCCGTGTAAAATTAACTCGGTAAAATTTCCGACTGAGGCACAAAGTTCATACGACTTTTCCAGCTTTCTAGTATCATTGTTGTTGTCAATATCTCGCGCTATTCTTATATGCTACTTTCCACTTTTATCTATAATAAAAGTTAAACTGACTTTTGCGTTCAAACACATTACATTTCATGTTTAATAAAGAAAACTTTAATAAAATGCAGATTAATTGACCGGGGCAAATAGTTACAAAGGGCAAGCTGATATAAGTTAATATTTTGTAAACAATATTAAGTGAAAATCGACAGTATTTTACAATTGGTATTTTTAGTAGCCAAAGACAACACAATTTTCAATGTTTAAAAACATTGATATAAATTATCGAACACTTTTTCAGAATTTAATGAACTTTAAGACTCTTCTATATTTTTATAATATCTGTTTAATAAAGATTTTGTATTCTGAAATTTCGCAAATACAAATATAGAAGCAAGATGCAGAGGATAAATCAATTGAGTAGCATGCATTTGAAATAAAGGCAGCGCCTTTTCCGAAATTACCTGGAAACTTTCTCTTCCACAGGGCTGCTAGGTATAAGATTCTGTGCTGCCAACTTCTGAGTGAGATCCTTGACAGTTCCTTCCCTCTTAAGCTGTAGAACCACTCGACGATCCTCGTCTTCGTCGGTGTGATTACTCTCGTTGTACTCGACACCTTCGTTGGGACTTTTGCCATACCATGGTTTCTTCTCCTCCGAGTCGAGCTTGTTCGCGGCATTCATCAAGGGCGTCAAGTCTTTTCTGCTGTTCGTTCTGGACAACTTGTTCGAAGGAGAATCAGCGTTCCTCTCATAAGAGATACCGTTTGTATATCGTAGACTGTTTGTTGCGAACTGACCTTTAATAGCAAAAGATTAAAAATATTTATTGTATAACGACAGAATATCTTCCCGAGATGCATATTGTTCAAAAAACATATAGGTATATGGTAAGAAAAATTAAAAAATTTATTTTATTAAATCCATCCACTTCTCTCTCTCTCTCTCTCTCTCTCTCTCACGAAATGGACATATTTTGTAAAAAATTGTATGTATATTCACTTTCTAGCACATATATACATATTTTTAATGTATTTATTTCTACATAAACATACAAATTATAAAATTAAATGATAATAAGATTTTTCTTTTGTAAAAATGTGAATCACATTAGTGATAATTGGAGATTTATTTGGGAATAAAATAAATTAGGTTTAAGAATGATAAAAAGATATTTATGTAGAGCATTTTAAATGAACTTTAAGTACTCACTTTCCTGATCATCGGTATGACCAAGCGAAGCTCTCAGGTTTGCAGTAGCCTCTTGTTGCTCTCTAATGAAGCTCCTCTGTCTCTCCGCGCGTTCTCTTCGTCGTCTCAGCGCTGGTGTAACACCAACATCCACTAAAACACAAAATAATGTTTTCTCCATTAACGCGAATTACTTACGTATATCTTAACGCGTTTTATATGCAAATTAAATTTAATTTATTACAGATTAAATATGAGCAAATTTTCTCAAAATATAAGCTAGACTTTCTTTCCATCGTGTATAAAAGTTATAAAATATTTTCTTTCTGGTATAAACACATAATTGACTTAAATTAAAAACTCAATTATATCGAAAAAAAAAAGAAATAATTACCTTTATTCTCTTTGTAACTACCATTGAGCTGAACTTCACCTAGATGACCCTGAGAACTTTGAGAACTACTTGATTCGTCGTCATCATCTGGTAGGTTCGAATTCAAGGTGTTATTCAGTGTATTCACACCCAGAGTATGATTCAGTCGTGGGCTCAGTCGTGCATTCAGAGACATTGACAGGGGTGAATTACCCGTGGAATGCCTCCGAGACTTTCGCCTTTCGTGAGAATCCACTAGAGACTTTCGGTTTCGTAAAGTTTTTCTACGCAGTCAAATAGAAATATCGGATTAGAAATATCTTAACTGAATTATTATAAAATTGTTATAAGATGAAACAAAATGTTTCTCTATAAATATTTGCATAAGATTTTTCATTTTTCTTCTAAATTACATATTTTTACCCAATAATATTTTTATCCAAATGTTCCAAAGATCTATATTAATTAATTTGAATACAAATCAAAGAGAAAGAATCTTATTAAATCGTATTACGCTCAATATTAAATTGTAATATCACCTACCTTATATTGTCATCCAATTGACGTATAGGTGATCCTCTGTCTCCATCCTCGTGATGTAGTACCGCTTCGTAAATCTGAAACTGCCTGAGCAAGTCGAGATCTGTGCCCTGTTTTGACATGTACCTCTGGATAACGCCCTCCATACCCTGTTCCTCCAGGCAGTCCACTTGATCGTAGTACGTGTCTTGATCGGGGATACCGTTCAAACACTTGTTGATCAAAGTTGTTGCGTATATAAGCAACTCTGTGTCGGCGGCATCATAATCCTTCAGGAGTTTCATTACGTTAATCCACGGTACCACGCCCCTGGCTTGATCGACCGCTCTTACAGCTCTGACCAATAGCAGACTGTTTGTTTCCACGTATTCCACAAACACGAGCAGTAGTTTCAACGCCGTCTTCACCACCAGCCGAAAACGACTAGCAATTAACGTATATAACCATTCCACTGTCTGCCCATGTTCCATCACCCCGTTCATACCGTCGACATACAGCATCACCTGGCCGAGTGCTGCATGAATGCAAACGAGTTGCGAGATTAAACACGGAGGGCGAAATTGTTCCAGACAATCGCGTATAAAGAGCCTTTAGCCGTTGTTCATAAATGTACCTCTCTAGTGGATTTTATGGCAGCTCAAACAATATTAAGGCTCAAAAGATTCTCGAGACATCGAAAAAGAGAAGTAAAAAATTTAATATTTTTTAAATACGGTTTAAACATCCACTTTAGAAAGTTAACGGAGGTAGAAATTTTTATGCAAACGGGTAACTGCTCTCCTTTATGATGTCATAAAATATTTTTTAAATACTGTCTCCAATAACGTTAAATATTTTCCGTATTAATCGACTTTTTTGAATCTCTCTTGATATTATACATATATATATATATATATATGTATATATATATAACCATTAATCTTACCTCTTAATTCGGACTGTGGCATCCCGCTATTTTTATCGGAAAGCAAAAATATAAACGGAAACGTCAAAACGACGACCTCTGCCGATGTAGATATGCAACGAAAAATAAAAGTACAACCGTCGTTGCAACCGATGCGAAACCTATCAATCATGGCTCAATCCAAAACGACGTTACCTATTTTGTACACCATGCGCTTCGTTGTTTACGAAACTGATTTCCGGCTCGTACTCGAACTACGAACATAGGCAGGCACGACTAAAATTTAACAGGTAAATTCTACCGATCGCGTTCGTAAGTTTACTCAGATTTTATCCTACATGATATTATAGTCCAAAATACGCTTGCGCTTACATATTATCGCTTAAAACACGCATATTCCAACGAAAGCCGCTCCACACTGTGCTCTAAATAAATTACGGCGCGCTTGGCATGTAAAATGTGCGAAAAAGTATAGAAGAAAGCTGTTGCAAGCATTCATGCACCGCAGGTAGAAACCGCTTCATCCAAGATTAATTAGAAACAATGAAAAAAAAAAATTGGAATTCCCTTCCCTGCTCTTTGTCGAATAATAGTTATACGTGGGCTGCGTGCAGCTCGAAAATAAAATGCGCTCGAAAATCCAGGTCACTTATGCGATGCGCAAACCAAATAACAGATGGTTACATTAAATCGTAAAGCCAATTAGTGAGTGCTTGGCAAACCAAATACATAAGTTACTATCGCGACAAATTGTGCAAAATCTAATTCGACTGAATCGATCTTGCTTGCGAGAATGTTAACAATGTTTAATTTTCGTTAAAATCATGTTATATATAAAATATCAAAGAAATAATATTGAATAATAATATTGAATAATAAAAAGTCAGCAATTATTTGCTCCTGTACGGATATGTGTTATACAATCAATATTTAACCTATGTAAATTTGAAAGCTGTATAGTGCAATTAATTAAACAAGGTTTTTATCTCGATGAAAATGACTGTTTACATATATTGATTCCCTATAATCAAAGTTTTTGGTATTCGCGCGATCGTATGCTTTGTATCAGCGACGTATGCCAGCCTGACAACGTTCATAAAGCACGTTCCACCAGTTCCACGATAAACGTTACTGTTATATAGGCTGTAAGTTATAATGCGAAATCTAATTAGAAGCCTAGATATATAAAGTCTGGATATATAAAACGCGCAACAAAAGTAATCGAAATATCAGATACTAATATGTTGCAACAGGATTTTGTAATATTTAAATAATTGGATTGCAAAATGCAACATACGTGCTTGGTACCATTTATGTAATGTAGTAACAAATTATGAAGTGTCTATTCACGATGAGACTATATAACTATTTATAATAAAAATAGATAAAAAATTGAACTGTAAATACATTAATCTAAGCAACTTCTGTAAACTGTAATATGAAGAAAAAAATTGCATCAGAATTTAATAATAGGGAGTTGCATGATACATGTATGAAATAGTAAACAATATAATATAAGAAAAAATTGTTGTAAATTATGTCTGAAAATACGAATAGAATAAATCCATGAATTTTATTTTAAAACGTCGTAATTGCTCCTCAAAATTGCATTTTCGATACTAAAATCTTTGCTTTTGGTATAACTTTTTACTTCTTCAGTATAAGTTCTCGATTCGTTTCAGCTCCCTCTAATACAGAGATAAACGCAACGAATGCATTATAAGATTACAACATGAAATTAGCGTGCTCACTCGCGTATAAGCTGGTGGTTTACAAAGTACTTGAACACGATTCCAAGATACCGCACTCAAAAGGCACGATCAAAGAGCACCATTCATAATTCGCGACGCATCGCGGTTTGACGAGTAGCTGCAAGCCACCGTGGCTTCCACGTGTTGACGCTTTCGTAAACGCGGCGCGTTAACACTTGGTGTCACCTTCTCTCTCGCTGTACTTTTAGACGGTAATATCATCGTCGCCATGTACTTCTTGGAAAAGCAAAGATGAGGACGTTGATGTCTAGCTCGTTAAACATTAGCTGCATTACGCTGGTATTATCTTATCGCTACTTGCGGCAAAGTGGGAGCGCATAGAGAGCGTCCATAGAGAGCGTAGTGTCTACCATGAAATCTCGGTGTGCATGTACCCCGCAAGGTCGCATCATTCTCTTAACTCAATTTGCGGGTTCGCTTACGATACGACTTTCCCGCCGTCTAATTGGATGCACCGACTGCTATTATTGCGGAAGTTATAGAATAATCATCATCTGATATTATTATTGAATCTCGTTAGCGGTATGCCACAACAGTAGGTATTTATTACAGGTTATAAAAATTAATTGCGGATTTTCGCAGAGATCGTAATTAATAAACGAAGTAGGAAAGACCGAGACTGTTTGTCATTCTTGAATAATAATTTTTAGAAAAAAGTGGATGTAAGTCATATACGTATTTCTTAATATTTCTTTTATCTAGAAAAGACTATATTATTACACATATTTAAAAAAAAAATTGTTTATACGTTTAATCTACAATTGTATTTTTAATTTTAAAAGTTTTAAAATATTTTTTATCAGTAAATCACTGTTTTTGAAAATATTTTACGTTTGTAGAAAAATCTAAATCTGTTTTAAGAAAATAAATATTTTATTGATAATAATATTATAAAGAAATGATTTAAATGAGAAAAGGTTTAAATTTTATTAAGTTGGAGATAGGCATTAGGGACGTAAATACCTTCAATTTTAAAATAAGTGAATGAAGTATTTACCTCGTAAAATGTAATTTTGGTAATTCTGGTCGGCTTCGCTGCTGACTTTGATCAGGCAGGCGAGTCCATCATTTTGCACAAACTCGTGTACCAGATCCTTGTCCTCCTGGAAGATTGAAATTCGCGATAAGTTAATTTAATTATGACTGAATGAGACAACAACATTAATCTATGTTGATGTTCTAAAATAGGAACAGTTTACAGAAGTGTTTCCCTAAAGACCTGGGTACATTTATCATAGCTAGACATTCTTGTTAATTATATCAGGACAAAAGGCTTTTAATGTAAAACTCGAACAAATATCGCATTATATATTAAACATTATGTCACGAAACTACTTTACATCAGAATAAATGTAAAATCGATCAGAGAAAATAATCAACAGTCCTTAGCTTTCAACTATTATAATTACTTATCGAATTTCGTTGTATGATATAATAGAAAATTTCATCAAACATTTATTCAGACGTCAAAAACAATTCTTATATTGTTTTTCAAAAAAATTTTCATTTATTCTCGATTCATAGCACCTTCATGTTTTTACATATTTTTTTTAATACACACGTAAGCTTTCCAACAAGTTGGAAGAAACTACAGAGAAAACATAGAAGAACTAATATAGCTGCTGATATCCGATCCTGACAGCGACGTCACGGCAGCATGATTTACCTCTACATTACCACCTAAGCCCGCCCAACCCGCTCTACCGTGCAACCAGGGTTAAATGGAATTAGTTATGCCGCTTCAGGCGCAAAGTCGCGGGCATAATGGAAAATCTACGAAGTTTGATTAAACCCCCTCGTTTCCAAGGCGCCGCGACGCCGACGCCATGGCCGTTCGCGATCTAGTTGGACTTCTCTGGGATTCGCGTATACTTTGGTATTCTCTCGTGTTTCCCCTCTTCCACTTCTCATTCCGCCAACCGTGAGGCGATAGAAGTTTACATGGGACTTAGGCGCGACATAGACTCGATTAGCTCGACGGATTAAGAAGCGAAATTGAACTCGTACCGATGCATTTCCTCAATTTATGTGCCGCGAGGGAAACTTGAAACTAGCCGAAAGAGGAAGCAAAGTGGAGGTTCGCACTGGGTGCCTCGTAGAAGCAATTATGAAATATATATGGTTACACGACGTCCTGCGACTAGATTAGATACGGGGCGGACGTGCAATTGATTTGCGCGACAGTAAATTCGATTAGCTGTACGGATTAACAACGAAGGATATGCAAGAATATGAGGGATACATAGTCGTGATGAAGGTTGAAACCCGCAGCGGCAATAATCGGAAAAGGGAATAAGATCGTTAAATGCGCGAGCAAGATTTAATTAACTCTTCGTCCTCTATCACTGCTGGACAAAATTAAAATTTAGTATTTCCAATAATTTCAATCTTAGAATTGTAGGTAACAAACGAAATACGCAGATACTAGCTTAAAAAGAAAAAGACAGAAAGAAAGAGAAAGTGTGTATTATTTATTCGATCAATATAAATTATAAGTTAAACATTTAAAAGATAATAAATTTAAATATATCTCAAAAAATTATCAAAATATGTTTTAATTTACATGTCAGTTTATGTGTCAGAATTTTTCTCGATAAAAAGAATAATATCGATGAAAGAAAATTATTCGTGAAAGTGGAATACCGTCACAAAGGTAAATAAAAATAGTGAGCGAAAATTATTATTTAATAATAAGATTTTAGACACACAGTATATTTATATTCTATGTAAACATTTAACAACAGAATTATTTTCAATAATTTCGTTACCAAATGGAGGACAAAAAATCCAACAAATTTCAAATATTTTAATTTAATGATTCCGTCATTTTGTGTTTTTCAGTACATGTTTTTTTTAAGAAAATATCATGTTTAAATTACTAATAAAGCAATAACAAATTGTACTATATAATTTAATTAAATACATATATATATATATATATATATACTTATTACTTGAAAATATAGATATTTTTTAGTTAGATAAGTTTAAATCACCAAATATTTAGTTAAATTTTTGATCAAGTCATGTTTCTTAGAGAAAGGAAGAAAAAACTGTGTGTCTCCTATAAACAGTAGAGAAGCTGCATTCGCTCGAATGCAAATATTTACTCGTCATGCAAGTAACTTCGCGCAAAAATATCCGCTCAGCTTCGTCGCATACCCCTCAACTGCTCTTCATCCACCCCAGTCTACTATACGTTCACTATACATTCTTTCCAGCCTTCTCGCGCGACCCCGCTCATTCTATCTCATCACGAATTGTAAACCCACCTGAAAAATCTGCTTGAGGGAGAAGAGAGCCCGTCGCAGCTCGCGGCCCTCGCTGTTCAGCAATTTTTCTGCAACAGACAAGCAACACGCAACCATTTATTATAATAATACCGCATGCACACATACACGCGCCGTCGTCGTGAGCGCATTCGCGCACATTGTTGCTGGGGCCCCTTTTTACAAAGGATCCCATTTTCAGATCACGGTACTTAGCGATCAAGCGACCGTAATGAAGAGGCCGCGTTTACCGTAGCCTCTTCCATCGTGGCAATTCCATCCGACCGCGCACGCGTGCACCGCTAATTTGATATAAATTGCCGTCAGATTATTGAATCTGGCCCTCGGGCGAGACCGAGAACCTTCATCGTCCGAGATTAATTTTAGTATCACCAAACGAAAACAACAGGATTAATGAAGTGTGGTGTCAATGCCAGTTCAGTAAGTGGAGAAATTTATCATGAGGGATTAATGTAGTTGCGCTAAGTGGATAAGTAATTGTTACAATTAATGTAACTTTAATAAGAATTAATTTTTTTCCGTAAAAATTTCCAAATATATGTTTCATTCAAACGTAAATGCTATCAATATGAAATCTGTAAAATACACTTTAGAGAGAATTACTTTATTCTGTAAGTTATCCCCAATTACGTCATTTTGTTATTTTATCAATCTTCAAAATTATTTTATTTGATCTATCTCATTATTTTTAATAAATTTAATCTAATAACTAAATAATATATCACACAAATAATTTATTAATCTCTGTAAAATTTTCTCAAATAGCGCTTTTACATTTGCTCGGCGACTAGTATGCAATCAATATTGAACAAGGCGAATGTGCAGATATTCAACATGCTGCAGCACCATATTCAATATATATCCTCTATTCTCTCGAGAGGATTCATGATCCCATTGAGAAACTCACCATTTGACTCTGTTCTCCTACGAATGGATTTATTTATCAGATAAACAATCGAGCAAGCACCAGTGCGTAATTTAACAGAGGTTCGTAATTAAGTCCCATTAATTTTGCACGTTGAATTCCCGGTCGAAATCTCCATTTCGTCTCCACATCCGTTTTTTCTCTCGCCATTCAGTGCGCGATCCTCTTCCAATCATGACCCACCGATTCACCGTATTACTAATAATTGAATTCCATTTCATCGACGGTGCGGCAGGGTAAATTCAATTTGCCGGCCATACCGGAATTTTCTGATTCTACTGCGGAAGTTCGCGGATAGTTTGTCAGGATGATGAAAAAAGGAATGAGTCTGGTGAAACGTGTTATCGGGCAAAAGCGCGGAAATGCCAATATACCGTGAATATATGCAGTGGGAATTTTACCGGACACAAGGCGAGAAAAGTTGGACATGTCGGTACGATGTATTATATACACGAAAGGCAATTTCTGTTTGCACTCTTTGATAAGCACAATTTATCATCGTTCTCTTTCTTCTCTCCTTCTATTTTTCTTCTATCTTCGTACAGTTTGATTGAAAATAATTATTTAGTAGCATAACGTATAAAATAACAGTATGATATATAAGATCATTTTTTACTGTTATTTCTATTTCTTTACTATTTTTTAAAAATTATTATTACTGTCGACCACATTTTAATTTTAATAAAATATTTTGGAACTTAATTTTTAATTTATTAAAACTTTTAGTTTTTTATCTAAAAGAATTTTTTAAAACATATTTAATAATAATGTCATGTAAATATAAAGTTACTCTTCATTTAACGTGGCCTCATCTCATTTGCAATTTTTACGTAACTACGCCTTTTCGTCTGTCCAAGTTTCGCAGTGGCCAACCCAATTCGCGATTTCTTTCGCGGAAAAGAAGGCCCGGTGCGACCGCATAATCCACAGCTATCACGCGATCTCCAAATGCATAATGCATGCAGGAGAGAGATGGTCCAAGGAGAGGAGTGATGAGAAAAACGAGCGAGAAAGAGAAAGAAGGGAGATATGCAAGCAAAGGTAATTAGGAGTTCGCTGCAGGGTAGTCGCGAAGGAGTCCGGGAGAAGGATGAGGCGAGGAAGAGAGAACGAACGACGCGTCTTCTAAGAATAGCGGTCCCAAGGCCCTGGGGCCCTTGGTCCCTCCGTAATCAGTAACCATATAAGCAAAGGTCCCCTCTTCGACCCTTTTTGCTCCGTTTCTCTGTCTCCGCTTGGTATCTTCTTTTCGCTACTAAGCAACTTTGCCGACTACACCATAATGCGCTATTGTCGCCTATATATTCACTTTCGTTTAATTTTCACTCCGATCATTGTTAAGTTTTAGCGTTAAGTGCTTATTTTGTTATTCTACTGTAAACAATTTATTAATTTATTTTCGGATTAGATATCTAATGGTTCTAACAGAATTAAGAAGAAATAACGTTTTATGTATTTTAAATGTGTGTACTTATATTCGCTAAGTTATTTCTCTAAAGTTATTTTTAAAGTTATATAAATATGTTCCTAATTACTTTTTAATTACTATTTCAAAAATATTTAGTAATAATATTTTTATGTAGATGCAAAAATTAGTGTAATCAATCAAAATATTAATATGAGGTATCTATATATTTGTATGTGTTTTCAAAATAAACAGGTTCACAGACATTTAACATTAGAAATTGATTTTACTGATATAATTGTTTTATCGACAAAGTCGTGACGACATCTAATTTACGAGAAAAGTAATATGATAAGGAATATTATAATACTCATATGGCGTGATAAATGTTATTACGTACTATTTTTATCCGTAATTGTTTGTACCAGGAGCGATGCCAATTGGCATATAACATCGTTCTAATATAAGAGTAGCAAAGAAAATTAAAAACGGTTTAAAAGTATAAAAATATCAAGAATATTAAACAAGAAATTATAAATTTAATTTCACATTTTTTTCATTTTGTATCTTAAACAAATTAAAATACAAAAAAAATTTGCTAATTACGATACGTGCGAGTTAGCTTTCAAAAGCTAATAAGATAATTTGAATAAGATGTCATAAAATTCGTATAACAGTAAATTAAAAACTATAATTAAAAATTGTTATTCCTGTTTCTAGTAATATCTATCTTAAATTTAACATTTACCAACAAATGCTGTGAAAAATTAAAAGAATCTTCATTATTTAAATAAATTTATTTTAATAAGTTATATAAATAGAAAAAAATGCGACTAAATAAATATCTCTATTGTCACAATCAAATAATAATAAAAGATCAATTTATTAAAAATTTAGAATTCATGAAAATTTTCATTTGTTGCTAAATACTAAACCATCTAATCCATTTCGCGGACAACCGACTATACTATTGCCAGATATTTCGACGTGAGCGAAATCCGAATCCACATGTCGCGTGATACGTGAAAACGTGCTTCTCGTGGCACATCTCGTGCTGTGTAATGCGTCCGGTTAACCAGTTAGCTGCGGAATATAATTTGTACGATCTGTTTGTGAGCGAAACAGAATAGTGAAATTATAAATTGTTTATCGCATAATAAGTACACTTCGATGCGAAGATAAAAAGCGATTAATAAGTGAACAATGGAATTCAATAATTATAACGCTTTCAACAAGAACTGTGTTTAGACATATAACAATTATAATTTTTATATTTGGTGCATATGTGTTTAAATAAACGCAATAAATTAATTTTGCGTTCATGTGATTATCAAATTTTATTGTTCGTCGTTAACCATATAATCATATGTTATTAATAATTGTTAATAATGTGATTATGATGATATCTTATCATGTCTTATCTTTATTCTGATATGTTTCTCATTTTTATCATAAATTGTTATTAATAGACATTTATTTATTTTAAGAATATCTATTTATAATAAATATGCTAAAAAATAGTATATGAGAAAATATTTATATAGATTAAAACATTAAAAAATTTCGTAGACGCGTTACAAACACTTATTTTAGATTAATTTTTCTGTATCTAAGAATCTCTATTCCGTAAGCTCTCCTTATTTCCATTGCTTTTTAAGATATTTTTGTCCATTTGGAATAGCACGTATTTAAATATAAATAAAATATGCCAGATATTCTTGCAAAATAGAATCGTCTTCACTACTCGCTTTTCAAAGGTAGGTAAGTCACATAGAAAGAAGAAGAGAAGAAGGATCAAAATGAAAAAAAGACAGACAAATTTCACGAGGGTCGGGATACACGAAGAACCGTTAAAATATGTAAAACGGCACGGTCCACTTTGGCTTCCGCTCCTCCCTCTGCCCTTTTGAAACTTCTTTTTTTCTTGCTTATTCTGTACCTTCGATTATCTCCTCCACCGCCTTCACAGAGTTCAATGAACCAGGACACAGAGCCTACAGGTGTACCTGACACACATCATTCGCAAATTTTGTTCTCTGTGATATTTAACATCTACGAAACATTTTAGCAAGATTTTTATTTATTAGCAAATTTAACGCGTACATAAAATATATTAACGTTGCTAATCTTTTTCCTGAAGTGAACTTTCTAAATTCAATTAAAAAATTTGAAATAAAAATTTCATAAACACAAATCATAGCCGATAATACCGAGCGACACATGGAAACAAAATAAGATACGCACCCTATCTAATTTTGTTCTACTATCTGAACATGCTTATACACGTTCTGATTAGTAATAATTATTAGCTTTCCTTTTTTATCATGTCTAAAATAATATAATTCTTTTTTTGACTGACACACACACACACACACACACAACAATATAAATTAAAAAATTTGTAATTCTATTTCATTTTTGCAAATATTATATCTAAAAAAATATATGACAAAACAGTAATAAAAAAATCTTTCAATTACAATTGATTCAACTATACAAACAGAGAGATATAATAAAATGTTAACAATTATAACAACGTCTACTTGCAGAAAACAGCTCTGATAGCTGAACCAATCCCGTAAGGAATAATTTACATGGCGAAAAGGCGCAAGAAATATCTTTGGTTATTTTCAAGAAATTGATGTTAGCAAGTCAAATAAGCTCATCTGAACATCTTATAGAAATACTTCTCACTATAACGGAAATAATGTAATAATCTTAATAGAAATGAGAGAGAGAGAATTTGTAATACAAGAGATAAGATTTTATTCACACAAATAAATTTAATCATACGTCGCACATATATATACATATCTCTACATACATTATTATAGTTTTCAGACACAAAACATTCTCATAACAAAATTAATTAAGAGAAGTAAAAATTTTATTTAAACAATTTGAATAATAATAAACTTTAAAAAATTGATATAAATTAGAAAAACATTTAATATATTTTAAATGTTCGGAACATTCGTTAAAATTTGAATGCGTTATCTATAAGTTTAATAATCTACAGAATTATAAAAGAATAAATAAGTGGATTTGGTGAAACTAAAAATATTACAAACTTGTAAATAAAATAAATAATAATAGTAAGCTATTAAAACCTGTTTAAAAAATTTAAATAGAACCCTACAGACATTATTTTTCTACGAGTCGTTAAATTGCATGCTAATAATTATAGTAATTTAGACATAATAAGGTTTAATCAGAACAAGGTTATCAAAATAATTCCTCATAGAGTCGCTTATTTCGTTTTCATAAAATTAATAAAATAATAAATCATCGTTCGTTTTTTGAATTGAAAAAGTTCATTTAAGTATGCATTATGCGTAAAAAAGTGTAAAATAAATGTAGTAGTTTCGAAAATCTCGCATGACACGTTTCAATTTTCTCGTAATATTCCAATTTGTTCCATTATGTCAATAAAAACGGTCAAGGTAATCGCCGAGAAAATGCACTTACTGTCAATAAGAAAAGTCGAAGTCACCGATTATCGTATTCTTATAAAAATTTCAATAATGTTCATGCTACATTTTTAGTGTTAAGTATTTATGGTACAATCATATGGTAAAAACATGATTATTTCCAATTTGAAAAGATTACGCAAATTTTCACAAATCATGTTGGTCTTTTATTTCTTCTGTAAAGAGAAAAGAAGTGAAAGTTATTTCAATCATATTTTTTAAATATATAAACCTATTTTAATCATATTTTCTGAACGTTCTGAATATTTCAATTTTCAAAGCTTTTACTAGAATAAAAAAATTAAGAATTCCTAAATATTTTCATAACATATTACACAGTTTAGATGTAAACATAAATAATTAGGTATTTCTAAACTGTAAACCAGGATCAATTGGTGGTAAAAGGATCAAGCAGAGGTGCGTATTTGCTGCTGTTTGTTGTAATTTCAGTAACGATTTTTGTAACGCTACAGGTAAAAAGAATGTAGAACGAAGGGAGTTTTTATTCGACATTGCGTGATTAAGTACCGTCTGTCATAGACGGTGATGGATGGTCGCTGAACCACGATAAAGGATTAGCTTGATTTTCGCAGGTACAGGGTTCCGCACTCAACGGCATAGTCATTACTTTGCTAATTATCAACAGGCAACAGAGCTCATTGTTTACGACATTGTATAATTATGTCGTAGCGTATATTTAAAAATATTATATTTTGCTTGAAAACATATTGTAAATTTAATTATGCGTTCGTTATTCATTGTTTCTATAGTTGTTCGTACAATTTAGATCACAAAAAATTTTGTAATATTAAAAAACTACTGACGTTTTAAAAAAAAAGGATATCAAATAAAAAAAATACCACAACTTTTAGCCACATTACATATTTCAGTACATAATTCTCGCCTGTACAATTTTAATGAATATAAGTGTATCTACGTTCTTATAAATACACTACTATGATTAACTATACACATATATGTTTATCCGTCAGACGTCATCGATTGTACACAATGTCAGTATCACAATCAGTATAAATTATTCATATTAATGATATACGGTCTCTATACATTTGGATGTCTTCGTGCTATAATGGTTAAATGTGCGTGACTATTCACCCACAAACATTGATTGGTCGCATTGTCATACATTTAGGTCGCTATTGCTAGTAAAACAAGTGACCTCATAAGTAAAATACTAATAATTTGACCTAAAATATGTTTAACCTAAATATATTTTGTCATAAAATTATTATATATACAATTAAAAGTAATATTAAAGAGTAACAAATATTATTATTGTTGTAAAAATTATTCATATTATTTATAGATAGAAATCTAATTTAAAATAATTTCTTATAGGTTTTATTTATAAGTTTTATCTATACATTTCTTTTTTAATTTAAAAAAATTAATTTTGTTAATGGAAATATTTTTACACATTTTGTTTATAGATTTTTTCAGTTTCTAATATTAAATATTAAAAAAAAATAGATTTTTTATATTATAAATTTTAATATATTCTTCAATTTAAAATTTATAATTAATGAAGAATTAATTATTTTCTTAATTCCTGTACATTTATTTGCAATAGAGTTTACGTTACTATTTATTTTCAAAATACATAATATGTAGGTAATTAATTATCAATAATTCTATATTAATTAAGCAAAATTAGAAGTTGGTAAGACAAAATTATATTCAAAATACCCGTACAACACATCAATTTTATATAGTCTTATTCTGTGTACAGTCATTCTCCTTCATCTGATCATCATTATCAAAACTCAATGCTTCGCAGCATCAACGTTACAGTTATAAGCAGAAGGTCGCCGTTGTCAGTGAACCGAAACAAGTGACCGAGTAACTAGAACGAGACTCGACCCGACGCTACCAGTTAAGGGTCGAGGAATCAGCGCGCGCGGTCGGCATGGATGAGCCATCCAAGTGGATCGTGGGAGCCCGTTGCGAGATTTAAATCAGAAATCTACGATGAGAGAGAAAGAGAGAGGGAGATGGTACTCACCTATGATGGTGTGAACCCTCACGGACAGCTGGGTCCTGAGAATGATCGCGTTCTTCCGGCTGCAACAAAAAGAATAAACAATGCGACCGATTAGTACGCGCAAAATGTTGATTGCTGCGCGAATTACATATTAATATGTAATTAAAGATACAGAGGCGGAGAAGATGAGAAAGGCCTATTGCCCTACTAAAACACGTTATTATTCATCCCGCCACGGATGGATACTAATTAGTTATGGCCGTAAATTAATCGCGTTCAGTAATTACTTAATTAGGGCTCGGGGCGTCCTTAATCCACTTGCACAGTGTGCGAACCCCAACAAATATGTTTTTATGGTATGCCGTATATACTCAAATTTAGATTTATAAATTTGCAATTATAATGCAGTCTTTGTTCTGACATAACAACACAATAACCTGGTAACGCAGTTATTATCATTTGTTTCTTGAATCAACTAAGTAAATAATTAATGGCTTGTAACGTTATTCAGACAAAAAATTAACATAATTTCAACATAATTTCTCATCGTTAAAATGCTTAAAATAGAAAAAATCTTTAAGATACTTTTTCCAGAAAGTTTACATAATAAACGATAATTGTATATTAACACTTAAGCATTATTTATTCAAGGGTTCAATGTAAAAAAACTAATCAGCTCCATTTTTTCTGCAAAAATAACTTTTCAAGTATAAATTTAACGTGACATGTTTCGTGTTATTTTTTTGTATAAGAAATGGATAGAGAGATCCATGACTTATAAATTAATATTTTATCGTAAATAAAACTGGCTGAGTAATTAAAAAACCATATTATGTTGATTATCTTTTAAATGAAAGAAAACTAGTGAATGTTTCTTTTCTGGTTGACAAATACGTATCAGAGAATGATAAATGATATAACATGAATAAATGGTATTAATAACCGATTCTATTGAATCATAAATCTCTTTGGAAGGACTTGATATTGATGACAATAATATTGAGATTAACATTAACAATAAGAGTATTTACTACTTTTACTGTTTATTGAATAAAATTACATTTTAACAATGCTGAATTTTCGATTTTTATTTTTGAAGCAAAAAATTGACAGCTTTATTTAAGAAAAATATCTTTTTGTAAAAACCATCATTATCAATAAAGTTTTTTTATTAACAAAATGATCTTTGCATATTTTAATCAGCGTAAAATATTCTGCATAATATATTTGTCAAAACAATTTTTTGTTAATACTGTAAAGGAGGATAAAATAAAGTCGATTTTTACTCAAAAAAGTGTAAGTAAAACAAACAGTGTTTTTTTTTAGATTTTGACTTTCCACATAATAAAATTAGTAAAAATTCGTGACATTTGGGAAACACCTCGAAAATTGAGCAAAAACATTGCAGTTTGAATAAATACACAATAATTATGTTCAATTTTCGAGATGTTTCTCAAATGCTACAAACTTTTTAATCACTTTACTATATCTACGCAAAAAGTTAAAATGCATAAAATATACTATTCCTTTCATTTACATCTTTTTGAACAAACATCGATTTCTTTTTAATACCCTCCTTTTAAAAAATTAAGCAGCTTGGCTTTTTCCTTCAAAAATTGGCTTGAATTGATATAACTTTATTAGGCAATGTGATTAAAAGGAAATTATGAGATAGAATTACAATTACAAACTTTTGTGTGACACATAGTATCGACTATGCATAAATTCTGTCCTAATTGCCATACAACTAGACAAGCTAATTTCGGATAGGAAACTTCTGGAGTGGGTTATTCCATGAGCGTCCCAACAGTTCCCCACGGAATAGTCAAGTAGCGACGAACTCATCATATGACAACTGTAATGGAGTTCCCATGAGCGTACCAATTCGCAAAGGGAAACGTTCATCGATTTTGGTATAAATGCTGCTTCACAACAACGTGCCTCGATACATAAATTGGGTTAGAGTGGCGCACTCGACTTCCCTGTGCATATCACCTCACCTTGAACGGCGCGAACTTTAAGGCCCTGCGAACCTTCCCACGCCACGTCGCTGAGAAACCACGACGACCGTATAGACAATGGCTTTCAGAAAAAGAAGGGGGGAAAAAGAAGCGACGAAGAGTCGTCGGCATAGTGGCGATGGTGGTGGCGATGGTGCCCGGAGGTAAAAAAAAAAGTCGGGTATACGCTCGTTAATAATGTTTCCGCTCGTTAAATGAGGGAGTCAGAATGCGATTACGCGCCCTGAATTTCCCACGAATAATGGCGGCCGTAGCAGTATGTTAGGCGACCCCTCTTAAATGCCAGCAAAGGGCATGAATATAGAGTGCAATAGGCCAAATTACAAAAAACAGTATGGCAAATAATATTAAATGTTTTAAAAGGACATGGGACTAAAATAAATAATTAAATCTTTCAGATTCTTAAATATTACAATAAAAAAATGGGAAAATAAAAGACTTTTAGTAAAAGACATATTTAATCATAATTTCACGGATTTAAATTTAAACATGGCAAATAAAACAGCCGAATATTTACAATAATATAAGTACAAAACCATAAGGTATTGTGTTACGAGTTATTACAAAAATAAGTAAAATAAAAAAAGTATAAATAAAAGGTAGATTAATTGAAAAAACTAATTTAATGAATACCGTAGCCAATTTATCTAATGGCTTCGCTTAAGTGAAATAGTATAATATAAAGTATAATATAATTGAAATGACATGGAATCTTTTAATTTTATCTAATTGGAAGTTTATGCATTTTTATAATATGATATATACATATAAAATCTTAAAATACATGTAGAGGGGTTAACTCAAAATAAAAGAATTTATAATGTTCTGTTATTATAGTTTTTTACGAAATTACATTATAGAAACAAATAATAGTCATGTATAAGGATTCATAGAGAATATATAACAGTAGCCACATTCTTTGATAAAATACAGTATATATATGTATATTAAGAAAAATGTCTGATTGAAAATGGACAAATTGGAAGATTCTGATTATACAATCAAAATTCTGATTACCTCAACTATAATTCCAATACATTTAATTCTGATCTTTCCTTTTTAAATCGGAATTTCAATTAATCCAACTAGATTGTGTGTGTGTGTATAAAATATTTTATTGTTAAAATCATCTGACATATTGCCAAGGTTAAATCGTAATTTTTTCCCCTTTCAACTTTGAACATTGCAAAATGCTCGCTCGAGAACATTCTACTCGATGCACCGCACCGAATGATATATCACCAGGCAGCAAAACAAGCAGCCGCCGCAACGCGACGTTGCTCCAATGGCAACGACCGCGAAGGGTTAACAAACTCCAAAAGCAAAGGTTGCACGAATAAATTAAAAAGTTTCAGGCACGGGGCCAAGTTCAATGCCATAATAATATCGACTAGGTATGCGCGTCCCGTTTCTCCTCGTAAACATTCAGCTGCCATCTTTTGCTCCTACCGAGTCGCAATAATTTCTTCTGCAGAAGTGCAATAGCAATTTACGATTACCTCACGATAAACATACAGCGAAATGCTTTGGTGTCGTAAATACCGTTTTAATCCTTTCGATCTTGCAATTCAATTGTCATGTCGCAATGATTAAATACTTGTAATTTAAAATGAAATTTCAGTTTCGCCATTACCAAGTCCAAAGCGAAATTAAAAATAAGATTATTTAACAATAACTAATATAAGTAATAGATAAATAATGTATAATATTCGTATTTTATAAATATATTAAAAATTTTTAACTTAACTTATTCTTATTTTTCGTTGTAAAAAAGTAAAATATTGTAAAATTCACAAACTCGGGAATTTTTAATTTTATTTAATCAATTTTATTTTAGATATACCTGATTTATTCAGTTAGAGACGAAGAAGTGCGCTCGAACATCGATGTTTTTGCATACACAAGAGCACACGTGACGATTTAAAGTGCCTTCTCGAAATGGAACGTCGTAACTTTCTCGAGGAAACAACGAACGGTGTCATAGAACACTAGAGGTCGTCGAAATCTACCTGAGGAGAGCTGGAGAAACCCTCATGCAAATACGATTTACCTCCAACGTGGCTACCGCTAGTCTGCTAGCAGCGAGTGCACCCTCGGGAGAAGGAAAGCGAAGCCGGGTAACGTTCCCGGCAAATGGAATGCAAAATCCTGGACGCCCGTGGGAACTTTGTCGTCCGTGCCATTGGGCGATGAAAGTCTCCGGGGTCGAAACGATTTCCAATCTCTCTTAATGGCGCATTAATCGTAATTCCCCGGACGAAGGGTGGAGAACGAAATGGCCGTTGTCTTAAATGCGATAACTCTGCCGGCTGACAGTTTTCAATTGGCGAACAACGCACTGATAGTTGGCGAAGTTGTTTCCAATACCTGTTATCGATACTTCGTCTTTTATCCATGCGCTCTTTAATTCAAAAGTTTGTGCATCACGAAGTTACGAAGTGAACGAGCGTTCGCCGGGGATTCCTGTACCTCGATCAAGTATGAAATTAAAGATGTTCGCGTTGAGAAGTTTGCGACAGAAAGTGAGCTAACTGGTGTTAATTTTCCAGTAATATTCGGGAGATTTAATTAATTAGTATATTATAGAAGATGCAAACATGCTGTAAAATCATTAAATTTATATAATTTCCATACATACATAAGTACTATACACATATATGTAGATGTATAATTCTAATAAAAACACATCTAAAAAATATAAAGTTTAATTTTAGAATAAAAATTTATAAACGTACAAGTATTGTTTATGAGAGAGAGAGAGAGTGAGAATACATGTATATTCATAAACAATACAATGTCTAAAATTTGAAAATGTCTATTATCTACAGTAAATTTTAAGAACGGAAAAGTCCATTGTTCCTTCTTATGAAAATGAAAAAAATCAGGTATACTGATTAGAAAAGAAGGAGGAAGGAGAGGAAAGCAGAGCGATTCGTACCATTCCTAACGCGGAATTTGTCGATTGCAATGAAGATTAATGATAGAGATCCACCTGGATTTTCCTAAGAAGAAAATGATGTGGCCAATATTAACCCGCCGCGACCTCTTCGTTTCGTTAC